CTTAAATCACGCCATACAATGGAATTGGATGTTGGCCATCATCTATCCCCAACATGATAGAGTGATTTGATTGGATCCAACTTGGTGAAAAAGTACGATTGAACTTCAGAAAATTGATTGCGTGGCAAGTTTATTCTTCTTTACTATATATTTTAGTAGTGATACTTTATATTATTTCTTTTATTTAATACATTTTTGTCAATTATCAGGGTGCTACGTCACTGTAAACACACAACAATAGTTCCCTTTCAACACAATGACTCCAATGGTTTAACAAAATTTCAAGGAGTAAAGATACACAAGTCTAAATTTATCATTACCAAATTATTCGTATTTGAGAAATCTATGAATGGTATCTAAAATAAAAATGTTGAATTTTCAATGTTTTGGCTTAAGAGGATTTCATTAAATGCGGCTACTTCATGTTAGGGTTTATGTGCGATGTGATGCATATTAGCATTCACAAGCTAAATAAAGTTAAAAATTATGCTAATGCCTATTTGGTAGAAAATTTTGGAGAATGGGAACAATTTGTAAAGGATGTATATCTAATACTTGAAGATATTATGTAAACTTTTTTTATTAATGTTTATGTTTGTAATACTTTTTGTAAATTTGGAATGTATTCTATTAGTTTTAATCTGTGAACTGTGAATTATGAGGCCAAATACCGATAACAAAAGGGATTCAAAGGCCACTGTGGGAAACAGTGAAAAAAACACCATCTTTTTGTTGTGCGCGCGGCAAGAGATTTAATGACGGTTTTCTTAAGAAATCATCGATAAAACTACGCTTTGAGTGAGAGTTTTTAAAGAAGAAAGAAACCGTTGTCTGATCTTCCTTTATTTGCGCCATTTTGGTGATCAACCGTCGTTAATTGTTGTTGACATTTAACGACTCAAGCTATCGTTGTTGTATCTTTTAATGATGGTTTGTGTACTAGTGATCTTAGGTGGATCTACAGATCATGAAGACGAAGTGGATGATAATCTCCCAATCTCCAATCTCTAATTTTTAGATTCCTCTGAAAGAAGTGGAAATTGTTGTTTTAGATTCTTAGCAGAACTTGGTGCGTCTTGAAATTTTGAGAATAAACTGAACAAAGCTTGTACTTTTTCTCTCTAAATTCTAGTAAGATTTCAAGAAATGGCCAAAAAGATCCCTTTTTTTTTGCTTGGGTACAAGTATTTATAGGTTTTCAATCCGTATTCTAAACTTCCTTTATTAAAGATCTGTCCACCTCAACTTTTCAATTCTTGACCTGGAGATCTTTCCTTTTAGTAAATCTTCCGGTTGGTCTGAAACTTCCGGATGACCAAATCTTCCGTAGGGCCTTTGAATTCTTCCTCTTTTATCAAAAGGCTGTCGTTCTTTTTTAACTCAAACGACCTCGTTTTGTCTTGATTCCTTTTTTATCCCCACATTTCAGGAAATCTTACTAGAATTTAGAGAGATAAAGTTCTAGTGAGAGAAGAAGATCAATTCTTGAGAATTTAGAGTGGATAATTCTTGAAATTATTTGAGTGTTGAGTTAAGACAGAGTTTGACCCCAACAAAACATCTTATAAGAAGTACTGCATAGCTTAGGCCTCGTAAGAAGAAGGGCTTAATTACGATGAGAAAACCTTGACGATTTCTCTCCCTAATTCTTCAAAAGTGCTGTTCAAAGTAAGAGAATTTTGTGTCGTATATATGTGATTGTTTGTGTGCTTACGAGTCATTAAATGGACACATGATCACTATAACTTGACGATTTCTCTCCCTAATTCTTCAAAAGTGCTGTTCAAAGTAAGAGCATTTTGTGTCGTATATATGTGATTGTTTGTGTGCTTACGAGTCATTAAATGGACACATGATCACTATACGTCTCTAACTCAATTCTATGTTGAGGAATTAAGACACGAAAAAAGTAGGGACTAATCAACTTAAAAATTCATAAACGTATACTTCTTAAAGTTAATAAAGTTAAGAGACACGGAGAGAGATAGAGCCAAATATGTTATTTAAATTTTTTCTTGTTGTAGTGCTGGTAATGCCTTCTTTTGCTATGCCTTCTTAACGATGTAACCAACAAAATAATTACAGCGACTCATTTGCGACGATTGTCATCGCAAATATAATTGTGACGACTGCTTGTTGTCGCAAAAATTATTTTTGCGGCGACAGATTTATGACGACATGTGGTCGCTAAAAATTCATTTGCGATGACTTTGAATTTGTTGCAACGACTTTTATGTCGTCGCTAATAGCCATTTTTCTTATAGTAGTGCTTCTCTAACTCAATTCTATGCTGAGGTATTTAAACAGGAAAACAGTAGGGACTAATCAACTTAAAAATTCATAAAGGTATTAAACTGTAACTTCTTAAAGTTAATAAAGTTAAGAGACACGGAGAGAAATAGAGCCAAATATCTTATTTAAATTTTTTCTTGTTGTAGTGCTGGTAATGCCTTCTTTTGCTCGGCCTTCTACGCCAAGTTGATTTTTCAGGCATCTATCGTCCTGCAAGCGGAGCTTCTACGATGGATAACTCATACGTCAATTTGTTTATTGTAATTTCAGACATCAATTGCTAAGTTGTATATTGCTATTACCATATGATTTTATAACTTAATTAACTATGGAAAATAAGTCCATTTTCATCTTTTTTGAATATTTTTTCGATTGTCTTATATTTTTGGATGAACGGCATCCTACTCTTATTATATTTGACCATATATCATTCAAGAAAGTAATGTAATTGTTGGAATTACTAATGTTGTACAGCTCATCTTCATAATGAAATCAAATTTCGGCTGCATTATGGGAAGGTTGCACTTGGACATACGTCGGTTGGAAAGTGACAGCATTTTAAGAAGGGATATTACCCAAAACAGCCCTTGTATTTTGTCAAAATACCACTTTGGTCTTTTTATTATGCAAATACCCAAAACACTCTATTACTCTCTATGTTTATAAAAACAGACCTAGAACACCCTGTGAATCAATTAAATTTTTTAAATTATCAAGATAGCCCTTCCAATCTTTATTAAATACAATTTATAACATTATTAAACCAAAATGTTATATAAAGTCAGTCTTAAAAAAATGAAAAACTCTCAAAATAATTTTGATATATTTCTCTTATTAAAGTATTTATTTGAGCATGTTAAAAATTTTTATTTAACTTTTTCGATAAATCATATCAAAAATAATTTTTAATATAAATTGGAAAGAGTAATCATGGCATTTCAAAAAATTTTACTGCTTCAGGGTGTGCTTTGATTTTGTTTTTATAAAGACATAGAGTGTTTTGCACATTTGCATAATAAGAAGGGTGAAAATAGTATTTTAGCAAAAATAGTATTTTGGGTATTTTCCCATGCTTTCACATGCTCCTATTTTTTCTAAGATAATATGTTTTTTTAATCATTTTTTAACCAATATCATATTATGTTCAAACACAATGTACTAAAATAATAAAAATACTTTGTTTATTAATAAATAATACATTGTGCCTAAATTATCTAGTCATTTTATTGTCGAGCAGTTCTACCAGTAAACGTTACTTTAAAGAATACAAATACGCATAATTGATTTTCATGCTTTTAATTTGTTCGTTGTAAAGGTCAGAATCTACAATTAAATTTGTATAGAGGGCCAATGGCCGTTTCCGGCATCGACTGTGATTGGCGAGTCTATCTGAAGCAATTTGAGTCAATAAAGCACTAGAACGAGTACGTAAAGTGCAAGAAAATAAATGAACACACGGATTTATGGTGATGCACCTTCAAAATGAAGGCTACATCTACCGTAAGGTCTCAAGGTTTCACTATATCCTGTAAAAAATACAATTACAATGCTAAAGAAGAAAGGAGACGGGATAAGTAGATTTAGAGAGAGAATCTAGGGAGAGAACGTTAATTATGAGGTCTGAATGTGATAAATTCTATGTCCTATTCGTAATCTTCATCCCCATTTTATAAGAGGAGAATAGTTTCCCTTTTCTTTTGATTTGACATTCCATTTGCTTGTTTCCTTATTTCGTTCGTGGTAATTTCCTTTTCTTTATTAATTAGATTTGTTCCTCAATGTAGGATGCGGATGGATTGGACTTCGTGGCCTTCAAGGAATCTTCTTTCCTGATTTATCCACGGTGGTCCCCATGGGTCTCTTGTCGTTGTGTTTCTCCAGTCGTCTCAAGTCAATTATCTCTCCAGTTGATTTTAGTTGGCTTTCTTCTTTAAATGTTGTCCATGTATACGGTGATGATCATGATGTTGATTATGACCCTAACAGTCGTCCATATTAAAAAAGTGTCTGTGTTGTTTTTCTTTTACCCATCTTCTGTGTACCTTTCCCTTAAATCCAATGCCTGTTGCTTGGTCTTGAAATCCAAATTGCCATCCAACTTCTGAAAAAATAAATAAAGTCCAATGCTTCAAGAAGTTTATATGTCTGTATGTATGGTGAATTTCAATGTTTAAAATACCATGAGATAATATGTACTCGACTCACTTGCTGAAAATACTTACCGCAAGATAATCTTCTTTTTGTTTATATAAGTGAGCATTTCGGTGGATAAATGAGATTTATTATTATTATTATTATTACTATTAGCTAATTGGCTAAAGATGAGCACGTATAACAAGCCAAGAGGTCACACAAAAGTATGAAATGAGACCATTAAGATGCAACTTGCAAATCCTCTTATATTATATTAATCCATTATTGCTTCATTAGTCCTCATCAGAATAAAATGAAAAAAATCCCAGGTTCACACACTAGAGTATCTTATATGTCTATATCATGTTCTTGTCACATTGTGTTGATTCATTTACTAACATAAAATAGGATGAAAGACAAGCTTAGTTTCGTATATTCCAAACTCTACACACAGCTGTTTAACGCCTTGAAATTTTCCCTTTACAAAGCCTAAAAGACAAATTATTACCTCATTCACCTATAAAAGCTAACCAAAACCCCCATAAGATTCATATATAATATTTGCGCAGATAGTTAAAAGGCAAAAGACCAAACGGATAAACAAATGACGACGGAGAAAGCGGTAAATCAAAATGGTGGAGATACACTAGAGGAAGCAAATCAAGATCATAATAATATTGATCATGATGATCATGAGGATCCCAACCAGAAGAATGCTAAGAACAAGAGCATGCGAGGAGGAGGAGAAGATCACGATGACGGTACAGGACTCTCCGTCGAACAGATGTTCGAGAATCAAGAGGTTCCATCGTGGCGGAAACAGTTGACAGTAAGAGCATTTGTGGTGAGCTTTGCTCTGAGCATACTGTTCAGCTTCATAGTGATGAAGTTCAGCCTCACCGTCGGGGTTGTCCCTTCGCTTAACGTCTCGGCGGGTCTTTTGGGGTTCTTCTTTGTGAAAACTTGGACCAAGTTGGTGGAGAGGTCAGGGATGTTGAAGCAGCCCTTTACTAGGCAAGAGAACACTGTCATTCAAACCTGTGTTGTTGCTTCTTCTGGCCTCGCCTTTAGCGGTAATTATCTAATTAATTTTCCATTTAGTTTAAAGTTTGAAATTAGGCAACTTTCGAAAAATATAAAACATGAAAATTATACGTGAAGAATCATCAATATTAAATATTTATGTATCTAAAAATCATGTTGGTTGTGTTTTGCGAAAATCAGGAGGCTTTGGGAGCTACCTTTTTGGAATGAGTGAGAGCGCTGCCAAGCAATCTTCAGACACCAGTGACTTCAAAAATCCGGCTTTGGGATGGATGATTGGCTTTCTTTTTGTCGTTAGCTTTCTTGGTCTCTTCTCTCTGGTACCTCTACGGAAGGTACAATGTTTTTTCCTCTAAAATACTTGATCTCCTTTTATAGAAATATTTTATTGGCATCGGAGAAATTTAAAAAAAAAAATAAAAATAAAATTAGCATAGTGATCACCAATCAATTATAGAAACAATATTTGGGAAAGGTGACAGATATCCGTTAGAGTCTATGAGTCTGGATATATACTTTTTCTTCTTGATTAATGTCCTTTTTAGTTAAATAATTATGGGATTGTTCTTTTCACAATTCAAATTGAGAACTTTCAGTTGTGTATGTGAAAGAAAAATACTTTAAAAAAATTAACTTTGAATTTTTGTGAGAGAAAATAGTACTTTAGCAATAAAACTTGAGTTATAACTTGAGTTGTGAAAAGAACAACTCCTATGTTATTCAAAAGGGTACTAATCAAGACTATATAATAAAAATCTAGACTCATAAGAGTAACTTTAATAATTTTCTCAATAAAGTATTTGATATGTAATCCTAGAAAATTAAATATGCTTGACTTTGGTTGATATCTCCTCATCATCTCTATATCCACTATGTATTCCTTCTACTGTTGACAAAAAGTTAATTGGTTTCAGATTATGATTATAGACTTCAAATTAATATATCCAAGTGGTACAGCAACTGCTCATCTTATCAATAGTTTCCACACTCCAAAAGGAGCCAAGTTGGCAAAGTAAGGAATTACAATATTGTTCCTTCAAATGCTATGTATGAGACCATTTTAATATTTGAATATCAAAATATCTTAACTGGTTCGCACCTGTGTGCTATTACAGAAAACAAGTAAAAGAATTGGGCAAATTTTTCTCACTTAGTTTCTTATGGGGTTTCTTTCAATGGTTCTACACTGCTGGAGATGATTGCGGATTTACACAATTCCCTTCATTAGGGCTCACAGCACACAAGAACAGGTACTTTACACTTTTATTATGTGAAATGAGTTTAAAATAATATAGATATGTAATAGGTATCATTGTTTTGACCGTGAAATGAATTATACAAATATAATAAATTGGATAGTTAACCTAAAAAATTTATGGCAATTAGTGAGATTCAATTCTTAAGATGGCACATCATCAATGTCATTAAAACATGACCTTAGTGAAAACATAAATTTTATTTGGTTATAAGGCACCATTGGTGCTTAGCATCATAGGCTAACAAAAGAGATGTGTCCCATAGTATATATGGGCTCATAGGGGGGACGCAACCTCTATTAGTTGTGGTACATAAGCAATCATAGTAAATATGTATATAATTTTGAGTGAAAGAAGCAAATACTAGACTTATGAAATAAAAATTATAGCAGTTTTTTGGAAGGTGAAAACTAATAAAATATTCTAAACTAATACCTTTTAAAATTCTCGTTTTACCCCCTCCTCCCCCTATTCCTCCCATTTGAATTGTTGACGCTGCCAAATCTTGTCTTCTCCGACAATGGAAAAGCCTGGAGGTGGAGACATGGATGATGACAGACACAGATCTGATGTAGCGACTTCTGAACACAAATGGCACTGCTCCGTCACGAGCAAAGATAAAGAGCACGAGCAGAGAAAAATAGAGAGGGCGACCGTGAGATAGAGAAAAGAAAGAAAGAAAGGATGAGCGTGAGAGAGAGAATCTAAGAGTGTGTTTAGTTAAGAGGAAAGGAATGGAATAGAAAGGAAAGGAGCCCAATTCTAATGTTTGGTTTGCTTTAAGAAATGGAATAGCCATTCAAAAGGAATCGCCTTTCAACCAAAATGTTTGAATCACCATTCCTCCCATAAGTGGATAGAATAGCTATTCAATTGTATTTTTCAAGTTTTTTCCATACTTGCCCTTCTTCTTCATTTTCTTTTATTTTACACCAACACTGTCTCTCTCCTCCATCTTAGCCCCCACCAACATCCTCCTACATACAACGCCGGCAGACTCTCCGTTGTCGTTCCGATGAGACCCGTCATTACTTAGACGACATCCTATGCCAGACCCATGATCTCAGACCCGTACCGTCAAGATCGTGCCTCCACCCAGACTAGTTTAGACCCATCTCACGAATATCTATCGTCGCCGATATATTGACGAACCATTCATTTTTGAAAACTGAAATGAAATAAAATGATTCATTTTTGAAAAATCTATTAAATAATTAGTTATATATAATTTCTTAAAGCCATAATTAATGTAAATATTAATTACATGGGTAGTTTTGTCCAAATAAGAATTGTCACATTTCATTCCATGCTATTTGTAAAATACTAACCAAATAAATGAATCAACATTCTTTTCCACTCTATTTTATTACTATTACCATTCTCATTACTATTATCATTCCACCACTGCAATCAAAGACACCCTAAGGGAAATAATTGTTGATGAGGGAGGAGAGAGAGCTAGGAGGTTGAGCGTGAGACAGAGAATCAGAGGGAAAGAAATTTTTCATTTTTGAAATTTATGGTTTTAAATTTTGAGGGAATTTTGAAGAATTAAGATCTTTAAAATTATTTTTAAGGGTAACAAAGAAAAAATTAATTCGTTTACCGAAGAATATGATATTGACTAATCAATTGAAATAATTATCCTATTTTCTACATCAATTAGTTTAGAAAATCTTCTTTATAGAAGAATTTCTCTATAATTTTAAACCCAACATCAGTAGCATTTACTTTGTAATTAAATAAAAAAGAGAAAATTACGTATTATACCAATAAAATCCAACAATTTTACATTTTGATATTTTACCATAACACTCTTTTATAGATGTCGAGGAGGAAAAATAATCTGATAGGATATTTTGTAGAGGAATTTCGTGAAATAAATATTAAGTTTATGCTATTGAGTGGCATAGATGTAAGGATCACGACATCTTTTGAGTGGGATTTGTGCATTCTTCTCAAAAACATAGAATTTTTGTATTTCTTTTCGTGACCTCAAAATAGGGTCATTTCTCTATGTTACCATGGCAAATTTTGCCTAATACGTCTCTATATTTTAGGGTATTGGTCGTCGTAGTTTTCTTATATATATATTTATATATATATATATA